GCGGGACAGCGGGGGCCACCGTGACCTTGCTGGGCCTGCCTCAGGTCTGCCAGCTGTTCCAGAATCTCATAGATACCTTCAACGTTCTTAAGAAGGAGAGACCGAACCGAATGCCCATATTGGAATTCATGACCACAGACCTAGAAGCCAGGTAATTTTTTGTAAGAAAAAATGTTAATCAACATGAAAATAGTGTTTACTTTTTTCCATCTGTTAATTTTTAAGCCAAATTTCAAGCCTACGAAGTTCAGAGACTCACAGGACAGGGCCCTGTGCCCACAGCCTCCGTCCGCATCCTTTCCTGGCAGCAAGCATTTCTCTCGGGATGGGGCGGGTGGCCTTGTTTGTCCCGTGGATTCTCAGCTCCCCCCGGAAGTGGCTCCGTCTCCGGGAAGCCTCTAAGGCTGGGGCAGGCCCGGCCTCTCCTCTCCCCACGTTGCCAGGTGGTCAGACGTCCTCCTGGAGTCTGTTGGTCTGTCTGCTCCTCTGCTCGCCAGTTTTCCGGGCTGCATCTCAGGTCCACAGAGACAGCACTAGGGGCTCTGAAGCTGCCTGCGAGGCGGGAGGCCGCAGGAGAGAGACCCCAAGTAGGATCGTTAGCTTTCAGATCAGCAGCTCATCTTCGAGCCATCCTCCTGCTCATTTATCTTCTCCCAGAAAGTGGTTTCCTCGCGGTTTCAGCACGGATGCTCATGTGTGCCTTTCCTGTAACTGTGCCAAGCCTCGAGGTCCGTCTCCTAAGCTGGATTTGCAGATTCCAACTGAATCCTCCTTCTCAGAGCAGCTGCTGCTTTACTGACCAAAGAATTGTGGATTTTGCCTGATTTTGGTTTTCTGTATTCTCTCTTGGTCTTTGCTGAGTTCTTCCTGTGCTGGGAGAGGGCTTGTTCTGTCATGGCTGTTCTGTCTCCCCCTCTGGGATGGGTTCCTTGGCCCCTGTGCTCTGTCTCTCCCCCTAGCAGAGGCATCTCTCACGCCCCCTGCAGCAGCCTGCAGGTGTGACCTGTGAATGGACTCCATTTCCAGCGGGTTTTCTTTTCTGCCCCTGAGTGTTTTGAGAGAGGGGTGGGGTGGGGTGTTGTTACTTTCTAATTTTATGGCATTGTGACCAAAGAACGTGCGTGGCTTGTAGGATTTCTGGTGTCAAGAAATGCTGGGGAAGGTGTTTCTCCCTGCGCCCAGATGGAAGCTAGAGGTGGGCGGTGGCCTTGACCACGAGTCTCAGGGAAGCGCCTCCCCGCCCCGCGCCCCCCCTCAGGTGTGTGAGCCTCCAGGTCAAAGCCGCCCAGGAGCTGGAGGACTCTGAGCCCTTCCAGAACTCGCTTCTGCTGATGGAAATGGATGATCGCTTGCTGGAAATTGAGGAGAAGTTTACCAACATTGGCCACAAGGAGAAGTGTGTGGACATCAAGCTGGAGCGCGCCAAGATGAAGAGGTGGGTGGGCCCACGCCCCCCTCCCGGCCTTCCGCTGCGCTTCCCTGCTTCCCCCACGCGCCCAGCTTTCCTCCCGGGCCACCCCCGCCCGGCCGCCAGCAGGGCCTCCCCACGGCTTGGCTTGGCTTGGCCGCGGGGTTCCACGACCCTCCCCCAGAGACACGTACTGGGGTCTGCAGCCTCTGGGGGGCGTCCGCCCACGTCGTCCCGGCCCAGCCCTGGCCCCAGGCGCGCGCGTCTTCCCACGACCATACGGGCGCGGACACGCGTGTGCACACGCGGCCACACGCGCGTCACCTCGGGAGGCCCGGGCGCTGCCCCCGCTCCAGCGGGCCGACAACCCTCCCACGTGACCCTCCCCTGTCCCCGCACCCCGCCCAGGGCCCCCCCGCGGTCGGGGCCACGCAAGCGTCCAAGACACAACAAGCAAACCAAGGGCAGGGTATTACAAACAGCCTTTATGTGGGAAAAGCAACCTGACGCCTGTGAAACCTAACCTAACACAGTATTATCATAGAAGCAGTATATGCAGAACTTTAAAAAAGGCAAAAAAAAACACAGACAGGAAAATTAGGTGTTTAAACCAGCACAGCTAATATTGTGGCATTGCTTCACCTGATGCATCAAGCACCAGTTTAATTATTTATAAACATAGTGTCAGACTGTGCTTACTGCATTACTCCAGATCTCTCCTTTTTTTTTTTTTTTTTTTTTTTTCCTGAGATATATTGAGAATATCTTTCCAGGTAAAACATCTAATTATAAAATTTAAAGTACTAATAAAATATACATCATAATTACAAGAAAATTACATGCTACACATTTTGTTAGTACTGACGACGTAATGCTTTGACATTTTTGTTCTAAATTCCACTCTTCCGTCCAATAAAGGTTATCTGCCCAAAATGAGAAAGATGCAGAACAGAAAACTGCACGTTACTTGGAAGCATACGACCTGGTCCAGAGAGCTGCTGCCGAAGAGGAAGAGCTATTTCACCGCATTCAGGGCTTACTGTCCCTTCAGGGTGTAAGTGTGTTATGTGATTTTTACCTCAATTTAAAAAAACCTCGAAAGCTATGGAGGAAATGCCCAAATGTTTGGAAAGTAAGTAGCATACATCAAAATAACTATGGGCCAGAGAAGAAATCAAAAGGGAAATTATTTTGAACTGTAGTGCTGCAGGGGGCACATATCAAAATGTTTAATATATCTCTAATGCAATACTTGGGGGAAACTTTGTGGCACTAAACACCTGTATGAGAAGAGAAAAAGATCCCAAATCAATGATCTCACCACCCTCTGCAATGTGAAAGGAGAAAAAGAGCAAATCAAACTCAAAATAAGTAGAAGAAAGGAAATTGAAGATCACAGTACAAATCAATGAAATAGAAAACACAAAAATTAAAAAGAAAATCAATAAAGCCAAAGCTGTTTCTTTAAGAAGATCTGTAACATGATAAACTTGTAGCCAGACTGATCCAAAAAAAAAAAAAAAAAAAAAGAGAGAGAGAGAGAGAGAGAGAGAGAGAGAGAGGGAGAGAGGACATAAATGAGCAGTATCAGAAATGAGGGCTGTGGCATCACCACAGACTCTACACATATTAAAAAGATAACAAGGGAATATCATGAACAACTCTATGCCAATGTATTTGACAACTTAGATGAAATGGATGGAAAAATTTGTTGGAAGACACAAACTACCAAAGCTCACTCAAAAAGAAACAGAAAGCTGAATAGCCCTCTATCTATTAAATAAATTGAACTTGTAGTTCAAAGATTTTCCACAAAGAAAATGTCAGACTCATATGGCTTTACTGGTGAATCCCACCAAACATTTAAGGAAAATTAATACCAATTCTGCACAAACTCTTTGAGAAAATTGAAAAGGAGGGAATACATCCCAACTCTTCTATGAGGCTGATACCAAAACAAGGTAAAGATATTTAAAAAAAAAAACAACAACCTACAGCCCATGATTCTTCATGAATATAGATGGAAAATTTTTAAACAGAATTTAGAAAATTAAGTCCAACAATGTATAAAAAGGATTATATACCAAGTTGAGGTTATCCCAGGACTTGTTTAACATTCAAAAATCAATCAATTTGGTTCACCATATACTTTAGAATTTTCTTTTTTTTTTTTAATTAATTAATTTATATTTTTGCTGTGTTGGGTCTTCGTTTCTGCGTGAGAGCTTTTCTCTAGTTGTGGCGAGCGGGGGCCACTCTTCATCGTGATGCGCGGGCCTCTCACTATCGTGGCCTCTCTTGCTGCGGAGCACAAGCTCCAGACGCGCAGGCTCAGTAGTTGCGGCTCACGGGCCTAGTTGCTCCACAGCATGTGGGATCTTCCCAGACCAGGGCCCGAACCCGTGTCCCCTGCATTGGCAGGCAGACTGTCAACCACTGCGCCACCAGGGAAGCCCTCACCATATAGTTTTAAAATTTAAAAATAAATGATCATCTTAATAGATGCAGGAAAAGCATTTGGCAAGATCCAACATCCATTTCTGATTTAAAAAAAAAAAAAAACCCTTAGCAAACTATTAATAGAAGCGATCTTCCTCAATCTGATAAAGGGCATCTATGAAAAGAACTAGAGCTCACATGCTGAAAGACTGAATGCTTTCCCCTTAGGTGAGGAATAAGACAGCAATGCGTCCTGCACCACTTTGATGCAGAATTTTATTAGAGTTCTAGCCAATTCAACAAAGCAAGGAAAAGAAATTAAAAGCATCCAGACTGGAAAGGAAGAAGTAAATCTGTCTTTGTTCACAGCTAACATGGCCGCGTCTAGAAAATCCTGCGTAATCTACAAAATAATAAAGCTGTTAGTACTAAGGAATGAGCTTAGTAAGGTTGCAGGACACAAGAACAATATACAAATATTAATTGTATATTTCCATATACTAGGAATGATCAATTGGATATTAAAAAATTTTCAACAACACCATTTATGACAGCATAAATATGAAATTTGACAAAAAAGTGAAAACTCGTACCCCGAGAACTACAAAACATTGCTGAGAAAAACAATACCTAGATAAATGGAAAGATATATCAAGTGCATGGCTCAGAAAACTTGACGTTATTAAGATGTCAGTTCCCCCCTAAATTATCTGCAATCCTGATCAAGATACTGCAGGGTTTTTGTTTTCTTTGTTTTTTAGAAACTGACAAAGTGATTTTTAAATTTATATGGAATTTCAAAAGACCTAACATAGCCAACACAACTTTGAAAAAGAAGAGCAAAGTCGGAGGACTGACACTACCTGATGTTGACTTACTATAAAAGCTACAGGGACTGAGGCAGTGTGGTTTTAGGGTTAAAAATACACAGACATCAGTGGAACGTAATAGAGAATCCAGAAATAGATACACGCACAGAAAACTGACTTTCAGCAAAGGTGCAGAGAGTTCAGTGGACAAAGTCCCATCGTTAGAGCAGTGGTGCTGGAGCAACTGGATGTCCGCATCCAAAAACTTCAATTCTTACCTCACACCACATGTAAAAATTAACTCAAAATGGATCGTAGGCCTAAATGTAAGAGCTAAAACTATCAAACTTCTAGAAGAAAACAGGAAAATACCTTTGCGGCCTTAGGTTTAGCAAAGATTTCTTTTGTGTGACACCAAAAGCATGATCCATCAAACAATAAATTTATAAATTGGACTATGCTCTTCAAAAGACACTATTAAGAGAATGAAAAGACAAGTCGATGACTGGGAGAAAATGTTTGCAAATCATTTATCTGACAAAGGTCTTGTCTCCAGAGTATAGAAAGGACTTTCAAAACTTAGTAAGACATAAACAACCCAATAAAAACAGACCAAACATTTGAACAGATATTTCTCCAAAGAAAATATGTGGATGGTAGATAATCAGGTGAAAAGATGGCCAACGTTATTAGTGAGTCAGGGAAACGCCGATTATAACCACAGTGAAAAACCACCGCACACCTGCTAACATGGTTACAACTTGAAGGACCGACCACACTGAATATTAGCAACAACCTGAGGAACTGGGACTCTCCTACGCTGCCCGTGGGGACACAAGGTGTGCAGCCACTTTGGGAGATGGTTTGGCAGCTTCCTGAAGAGTTAAGCACAGGCCTGCCGTATGCCCCAGCCGTCCCGCTCCTAGCTGTTTATGCAAGAGACGTAAAAGCATGTGTTCACACACACACGTGTGCATGAATGCTCACAGCAGTGGTATTTGTAACAGCCCCAGACTGCGAGTGGGTAAACACACTGGCGCATCGACACGACAGAACACTGCTCAGCTGTACGAAGGGATTAACATACAGGCAACGTGGATGGACCCTAACGTAACCACGCTGAGTGAAGCATGCCAGGCAGAGAGTACATATGCTATACGATTCCATTTATGTAAAATCCGAGAAAGTGCAAAAGCTAACTTGTAGACCCAGAAAGTAGCCACATGTTTGCCTAAGACGGAGGAGGTTGAGGAGGAGGGGGCAGGGGGGGTGGGGGCGAGGGTGCAGCTGTCACTTTCGTGGGTATCCGTACGTCGGAACGCGCGCGCCTGTCGGGGCTGACTGGGTGGAGGCTGAGCCTTGGAGGGAGCGCCCGTGCCCTGACTGCCCGCGCGTGCGTCTCAGTTGCAGCACGTCAGCACCCCTCTGGTGAGGAGGCTGGCGCACCTCAAGCTCAGCCTCGTGGAGGTGTGTCTGGACACGCTCCAGCTCGCGTGGGAGGAGACCCTGGAGCGGCAGCTGGAGCAGGGCTCCGTGGACAAGCTGCTGGCCGACTACCTGCAGAGCCCCAGTGACTACACTTCTGCCAGCCCGGTAACCGTCAACGGACACTCACCGGTCCCCCGGGGCCCCCACCAACGGGAGCTGTCATGCTGCGGTGGGGCCTCCACCTCCGTGTGCCTGAAGTGCAGACCAGCTAATGGGAGTCCAGGAGGCCAGATTTCACAGGTCTCCCCCTGAGGTCTCTGACCAGAGTAGGTTCCCTGCCCTGGCAGCTCCCGGCAGGTGCCAGCAGCCCCCAGCAGCTCGGTAGGCCTCAGAAAGGCCCCGTCTAACTGGCTAATGAAAGCGGGGTCGTACTTGGGGGGAGACCCCCTGTGCACAGACGGCTTCCCTTCCCAAGGCGCGAGTTTGCTCTGACGGTTATGTCGTCACAGTAAGGAGTCCGTAAAGGTCAACTGCAGTCTGTTAAGAAAATAAGTTACATTTGCAAAATATTTGTTTTAGGGAAACATGTCCTGGCATTTTAGACGTTGTCTTAGATTTCATGAAGTTTGAATCAAATTAATTTGATGTAACTCTAAATGGATCAACTTAGTCCTGAAATGGAGCTGCATACAAACTCATGCCCTTGTCAGTCAGCCCCAAATTAAGGTTCCACCAGCAGACTTCAGACCCGCCCAACACCTGAGCCTTGGAGACCCTCGCCACATGCATGGGCTGTTAGAGAGTGGGTCCCGCTGGGGAGGGGCAGCAGTGGTGGGCCTATCGCGTTTCCAGGCGGGGGCGGAGTCACTGAGGCGGTCTGTGTCCCTGAAGAAGTGGGTCACCCTGAAGCGGACCCTGGCGCACACCGTGCTGGCCCAGCTGGGGAGCCTGCGGCCACTGTGCACCAGCTGCGTGGAGCTCCGTGCCCAGCTCCTGGGCCTGGCCGGGAAGGCCCTGCACCTGCTGGCCGTGCGCGCAGACCCCCTGCGCCCCGCCTTCTACTGGAAGGAGAGCCTCTCGGTACGCGCTTCTGCTTCTGGCTGGTTCACAAACCCGCCACCCGCGCTTAAAAAACAGAAATAAGGTATTTAGAGCTCCCCTGACCTCAGTAAGTACTGAGATAGCAAACAGGTCTCGAATCATCCCCGTCAAGAAGGGCGATGTGGGCTATGGAAGGAAGGAAAGGGCGGCGGCAGCTCTGCCCGGGGCCCGCAGGGAAGGACAGAGGCGGACTTCGGGGAAGGAGCTCTGGTGACAGCCACTGCCACCGCTGGCCGTGGAAGCTCCAGGTCACCGTCCTAACCACCTCTGCAGATGCCACCTCCTCCAGTTGGAAGGCACCTGCTTGGCGGTGCAGCCAGGCTCATCCCCATAGACCCTGCTCTTTTAGGAGACCCCCCAGCCCCGAGCAGCCAGGCGCCGCACCCCTGTGTGATTTGGGGCTGGTGCCTCCACTTCCCTGACCCAGCTGGGTGTGCAGGCCCCGGGGTCAGCCTGTGACTGTCTGTCCTGGGTCTCCAGGCTGCAGGACATGACTCATATTTGAGTGAACTGATGGCGTTTGGCCCCTTGTCCAACCAGTATTTACTGAGCACCAGAGCAGGTGGCTCTGAGTCAGGCAGACGTGGACCAGATACACAGCTCCTTTCTGAGCGGGCGTCCCGTCTATGAAGCGGCCCTCACCACACCCCAACTTGCAGGGGCCGCTGGGGAAACGTGCCCCCCAGGCCTCGCTTCGTGTCATGTCCCCTCAAACCCAGGGCTCCCCTTCAACCCGAGTCCTCCTGGGCCTGCTGCCCCCTAGGCAGTTTCCCTTGGCATCCTGAGGACCCCGTCAGGGGGGCTTGTCTTGCAGACAGGAGGGCCTTGTTTGTGCCTTTCCCCCCCGGGCCCCCGGGGCAGACAGGCAGCTGGCTCCCCGGGTCCTGGCCGGCCTGATGCCGGGGGAGGTGATTCTGAAGGACTGAAGGGGAGTGAGCACAGAAGGCCATTGACCTGAGCATGCCGAGGCCCCACCCTGGCTGCACCTGCCAAAAGCCAGGCTCTTGGGCCAGGGTCCTCCTGGTCACCTAAATCAGCAAGATCCCGGCCCAGCGCCCACAGCGCCCTCACCCAGGGGTCCTACAGAGACGCCTGGCCATGGCGGGCACTGCCGTCCGTGCTGACGTACGGGCCGACTGGAGGTGTGTGTTCCATAGGGGGGCGCTGAGCTGAACAGCCTCAAGTGTCTGGAGATCATCCAGGAGGACAAGGACTGCAAGGGGCCCTACGGCGGCCTGCTGGCCTTCAGGGCCACCCCCGAGGGGCACAGCAGGAAAGGCTGGGATCTGAAGGTACCCCTGCCCCAGCCCCCAGCCCCGCCCCGGGCGCACCCTGCCTGCGGAGCCGGCCTGAGCCTGAGCCTCTCCCCCCAGAGGAGGATGGCGCTGGCCCAGCAGTACCTGGCCCAGGCGTCCGAGGTGCTGCTGCAGTGCCTGCAGGTAGCCCTGGGCAGCAACCTCCTGGACATCGCCGCCGCCGCCAGCCTGGAGATGGTGGAGTGTGTCGGCACCCTGGACCCCGCGGCCACCTGCCAGTTCCTGGCGCTGTCTCAGGTGCGCTCTGCTCTGGGCGCCTTACGCAAGGTCCCTCTTAGCCACTGGGGAGAAGGAGGGTCCCCGAGACCCCGGTGCTCCCTCCGTTGGTGGCCCTACCAGGCAGGCTGCAACTGGGCTCTGCCTTAAGGGTGGCGCTCATTGGAGGAAGCACCGTGGGCACCAGGAGAAGGGGGCCGGCCCCCCGAGGTTGCCCGGAGGCTCACGGGTGCATGAGCAGGGGAAGCCCTCCAAGCCCGTGTTCCCGCGACGTAGGGCAAGAGCGCCAAGCCCCCCTCCCTGCGTCCTGCGCTGCAGGCCTGGGGGCACAGCGGTGAAGGTCCGGCCTGGCCTCGCCCCGTGGCTGTGCCGGCCGCCAGGAGCAGCACCCGGGCACCCACCCGCGCTGGACAGCGCCCGGGCCCCTCGGCAGCCTCCGTGTTCTGTTTCAGAGCTGCTCAGCCTCGGAGGACATGCGAGACGTCCTGCTCACGGCCACGGCCAACACGAGCAGCTCACAGCTGGCCGCGCTGCTGCAGCTGCAGCACAGGCTGAGGTGCCAGGAGAGGACGTCCACCAACCTGTTTGCCAGCGTGGAGCAGAGACTGGCCGCCATATCCAAGGTGACCAAGCCAGGGACACCCTTGACCCTGCCCCTGGCCCCGCGGCTCTGCAGACACACTCGGACCGAGTCCAATTCCTGGCTTGCTGTGTGGTTCTGGGAGGGTCACTCAACCTCTCTGAGCTGCAGCTTCCTCATGGGCCCGGTGGGGGGATAGCAGCCCACCTCCTCGGTGACAGCGAGAGTCAGCGAGCTCGCAAGTACAAATGCCCAGGGGCTGCAGCAGGCCGCGGAGGGGACAGTACCCCGGGGCTCTGCTTTCAGCCCTCGCTGCGTTTGAAGAAAAGTTTTATACCCAGTCAAGTCTTAGAGATTAATTTTGAAAGAAATTTGCAGAGCATGGTAGCTAATAGCACCTCTGCTTTTATTTGGACTAGCAAATATGAATTGGAGATTTAAAGAAATTAAACTTGATGCAACTCAACAGAGAAAACAGGCCCGGATGCTCTGGTCAAGCCCACCCTCCTCTTTCATGGGGCTTGCACGGTTACTTGCATGGGCCGACCTCATATCCCTTGACCCAGGCTGCTTTCCTCCTTTTGACCTCTGAGGACAGGATGACCCTCTGTGGTGGGGCCGTCCTGTGCGCCGTGGGTGTTTAGCGGCAGCCTGGCCTCCAGCACCTCCCCAGGTGTGACAACCAAAGAAGTCACTGGGCCGAGAGCCAGTACCGTGACCCAGGGACGGGAATCCTCCCTCCTGTGGGGCGGAGGCAAGACGGGGTGCAGGCTGCTCTGGGCCAGGCCAGCCTGGAGGAGGTGGGAAGCGCACATGAACCGTGAAAACACTAACAGGTGAGAAGCAGTGAGCGTTCTGCTAAGATGCCTTAGCGGAGGGAAACGGCCCAGGAGCCAGTCAGCGCAGACCACCGTCCTGAATCCGTGAGCATCAGTGATGCAGCTTCAAAGGCGCAAAAGAGAACTGCCAGAGACAGAGCAGCTGCAGACAGACCCCCGGCTCTGCGGGGAGGCTGCAGCCGCCCTCTTGGCTGCTGGCACAGTGAGCAGATGAAGAGGCAGTGGCCTGCAGAAGCGTGTGGGGCGTCTGTGAGTGCAGGAGGTCTGGACAGACCCGGCCTGGAACGCTGCGCCAGCGTGACCAGCCCTGGGCCACAAGAGGCCTCAACAAGTTCCAAAGCACTGAAGTCATTCAGTTTGTTTTCTAACCACAAGGAAATTAAAACAGAAATCAGTAACTAAGAGATACCTGTAAAACACACAACTGCCTTGAAATTAACCAGTATGTCTATCATCATCAGTTTGTCAAAGAGGAAATCACGATGGAATTTAGAAAATATTTTAAATTGACTTAGAGAATAAAAATACTGTACATCAAAACCTAGGAGACTTGTCTAGAACAGGGCGTGGAGGAAAAATACAGCCTTGAATATAAAAGAGAGTCTTACAAACAGTGATTTAAGCTGTGATTTCAAGAAGCTAGAGTAAAAACACCTAAGAAAAATAGAAAACAAATAAGAACGAGAACAGCAGAAGCCATGAAATTAAAACACACTTACGGCAGAGGAAATCAGTCATGACAAGTGTTGGTTCCAAAGAGAAGGCTAATAAAATTGATAAACACTTAGAAAGACCCAATAAAGAAAAAAGAAAAAGAAAACAAAAATTTTGGTATCGGTAATAAAAAGATATCGCGAGATCCTTCAGACATCCAGAAGCTAATAAGAGACTGTTTTTTTATAACCTTACCCTAATAAATTTGACAATTTGGATGAGATGGACAAATTCCTCCAAAAATATTACCTACCAAAGCGGACAGAATGGAAAATCTGAATAATATCGCTTCAAGAAATGGAACCTTTTATTAAAAACATTCCCACAAAGAAAATCCCAGCCCCAACTGGCTTCGCCAATAAATTCTTCCAGACGTTGAAGGCAGAAGTAATCCTTCAAAACACCTGCAGAGGATATAAAAGGAGTAAAAGGAATACATCCTAACTGCCTTTAAAGAGGCCCAGTGAGCCTTGATACTAGAAACCTAGCAAGGACGTTACATGGAAGGAAAATCTCTCTCATCAACGTGGACACAAAGTATTAGCAAGTAAAATCCAGCGATTATAAAAGGGATAATACATGAGGATCAAATGGCTGTGTTCCATGCGGTTTAATACTTTTAAATCATTCAGTATAATTCACCGTATTAACAGAAGGAAAAGAAGAAAATCATAAGATCATCTTGATAGATGCAAAAAAAACATTTGTCAAAATTCAGCACCAGTCTGTGATTTCAAAAAATCAAGATAGAAGATAATTTTCTTAATTTGACAATGTCTTTAAAACTCCATATCAAACATCATACTATAGGGCTTCCCTGGGGGCGCAGTGGTTGAGAGTCTGCCTGCCGATGCAGGGGACGTGGGTTCGTGCCCCGGTCCGGGAAGATCCCACATGCCGCGGAGCGGCTGGGCCCGTGAGCCATGGCCGCTGAGCCTGCGCGTCCGGAGCCTGTGCTCTGCAACGGGAGAGGCCACAACAGTGAGAGGCCCGCATACCGCAAAAAAACCCCCACATCATACTATATACTAAAATCTTGAAAAATTTTCTCCTTGAGTCAGAATGACACAAGAAAGCTATCACTGCTTCTATTCAATGGAACAATTAGACTCGAAAAATGAATAAAGGGCAGAAGCACCGACAAGGAAGAAGTAAAACTGATTATTCACAATCAGCACGACTGTGGGCCTTGAAAATCACGGTCCCTCGATAACATTTAACATGCAGATTTGGCAGGTCACCGCTGAAGGCTGTGAACATGAGTTGTATCTCTACATGCCAGTTACAAACAAGCAATGACAATGTCTGAATAATACTGTTTTCAGTAACGTCAAAAACAGTCAGATACCTAAAGGAAAATCTAACAAAAGATACACATGGCTTCTACCCTGAAAACTGCAAACCTTCCTAGGGAAAACTCAAGGAGAACTAAGTAAGCACAGAGGCAGCTGTATTTGTGGGGAAAGGCTCCATATTAAGATGTTTGTAAGGAAATGCCAGCTTACTATACAAGATACCAAGACGTACTTTAAACTATAGAAGGTAAGACAGCGTGGCATTGGCACACAAATGGAGATGACCGACGGGACAAGAAAACGCCCAGAAACAGACCCACCACCCACACCTGACAGATGAAAAGCGCAACACTTAGGGCAGAAGAGCGGACGGCGCAGCCCTGCACGAAGGGCAGCTCTACCTGAGAAGGTAACACAGCAGAGCTTTCAGAAGCTTTAAGGGGACCTCTTCATGCCTTCGGGGTAGGTAAGACTTACTACGCAGGAGACAGGGGTGCTATAACCATCAGACGGTGAATGATCAGTTGTACTGCACTGACAGTAAGAACTTGTGTTCATCAAAACCGTAGCCCAGGAGTCAAAAGGCAAGCCCCAGAGGAGATACAACACACGCGGGGGGCCAGGGGCTGGTGTCCTGTGTGTAGACGGGAGGTGTCCCCTCTCGGCAGGAGAAAGACTGACTGTCCCACAGAAAACAATCACAAGACTGGAATTTCACAAAAGGTACCCAAGTGGCCAAGTAAACTTTTTAAATGACGCGCAAGTTCACTGGTCATCAGGAAGATGGAAAAATTAAAGCCCCATTCAGGTACTGCTAGACATCCACCAGAAGGGCTGAAAGGGAACAGGTGCAAAGCCCCAAGGGCGGGAGAGCAGGCGGGGCCCTGGCGGGGGTGGGGCCCAGTGGCCCCTTTGGTTTTTCGTTTTTTGTTTTTTGTTTTGCGGTACGCGGGCTCTCACCGTTGTGGCCTCTCCCGCTGCAGAGCACAGGCTCCGGACTCATAGGCTCAGCAGCCATTGCTCACGGGCCCAGCCACTCTGCGGCATGTGGGATCTTCCCAGACCGGGCACGAACCCGTGTCCCCTGCATCGGCAGGCGGACCCTCAACCACTGCGCCACCAGGGAAGCCCCCAGTGGCCCCTTTGGAAGCGACGTCCCCCAGCAACTCCCCTGCGGCCGGTGGTCCCCAAAGAACAGACGTCACAGCAGCATTTGTGGCCCAAAAAGGGAGCCCACCCAGGTGCCCAGTGGCCACAAAAGGGATGAGAAGTGGTGCCCTCACCGATGGGACACTCTGCAGGCAGCAAAGGTCAGCAGGGTCAGCCGCCACGTGCGCCAGCGCGGAGGGGCCCCGGGCCTCGCACAGCGGGCCGCCCGAGCTGCGGAAGCCTTGCCGGCCCCTCCCCTGGAGCGAGGCCGTGGCCCCTGTGAGCAGCCCGCAGCCTCCCGAGCGCCGTTCCCACGGCTTCCGTGTGTCCGCTCGCCGCCGGGGCAAGCGTCCCAGAGGCCCGTCCGCACCGCCGCGGGCTTGCGTGCCGACGCCGGTCGGCTCGGGCAAAGCTGAAGCTCATTCCATCCGAAAGCGGGGAATGGGCTCTGAGCAACCGCTCCTCTTTGGGGAGGCGGCCCGCGGGGTGCTGTGTGGCCGCCGCTGCGGAAAGGGGGACCCGGGTCCGGCCGCCCCCGCCCCGCGCGGCCTGCGGGCCGGGAGGCGCGGGTCCTGC